AAGAAACTGAGGCTTAGAAATGTTAACTTGTCAGAGCTGAAGCTTGTTTCCCACGTTCCATTCTTGGCACTTTGACCTTAATCTGTATCTTTCCCCCACGGGGTCAGACAGTTGACCTAAGAATTCTCAAAAATAATAAATAAATAAAAACAAATAAATAGACAAGTAATAAAAACAAGCAAAACACTCAAGACTTTTGAAATGTCTTCCTTATGTTATGTTAACACACACACACACACACACACACACACACACACTTTGACTCATATTTGTCATCTCTTTCCAACTCAAATCTTTAACTCTATGGTGCACTGTTGTGCCAAGGCTTTTTTTTTTTTTTTAACAAGTTTGAGTTTCCAGTCTTCTCCCCAGGGAGACCAGTGTTTGCCCCAGCCCAAGTAACTAGAGGAGGAGAAACAGTCTTCTGTCCTCATAGGTTTGAGGGAATGTGAGGATAAGGTTTTTGTGTCCAGGGCCTTTGGTGGTGAATCACCCACTCATTGATAGGGATGGGATTGTAGCAGGCCCCTGGACCTAAGCATAACCCACTCCACCATAACCTTAAAACTCAGCACACAGACACCACCACCTGTCAAAATAAAAACAAAGGCCTACTCCATCAAAGTGCATAGTTCTGGGAAAGTCTCCAAATGTACTAATCTTGCTTTTTGACTTCTGTAGTTCTGCTTCTGGCTAACTGATCTTGTTAACTGAAGTATGTCAACCCAGGATGTAGTTTTTGTGCTTTAAAACTCACCCGGAGGAAGACTTGGGGCTGCACTGGGATCCTGAATGCCCGTAGTTAACGACCAGCTAATGAAGAGTTCTATTGGCTTACCATGTCTAAGAAGTCTTCTCTGGTGGACACTCCACCACAGAGATGAGAGTGGGACACAAGCTGACTGGGCCAAACAGGCAAACGGAAAGGCTTCTAGAAATGTCTCAGCAGAGCACGCTCTTTGAGAAGCCCTCAGGCCTCTGGAAGAGACTTCATTTAGTCTGTGAGAGATAATGTAGACAAGGTATAGTTTGGAGCTTACATTTCAGATTTGGCTGATGGTCTCCCTCAGCTTGCTGTTAGCCTATTTACTTTCTTCATTTCTTTAGAAGAATTACAGAAGACCAAACACAGCATTTTCATTAGTAACAGATGCCTCTGAAATAGCCAAGTAGTGAACGTTACCAGCACTACTAACAACAAGAAAAGCAAAGGGGCCAGAAGTCTGATGTGTGTTATGAGCAGATGGCATGACTGCTCCATGGTATGGTTAACGGGAAGGTTTGTATTGTAGACATGAGAGAGAGAACAGCCAGAGGCTGCTAGAAAAGTTCAGAGCAGAGACAGAAAGTCGTAGACTGAGCACGGCCAGCAGATGACCTGGCTGTGAGAGAAGCAGGAGCCGAGAGACGGAGGGCACCAAGAGGAAGACAGAGAGCGTGCAGGCAGGAGAGGGCAAGGCAAGAAGAGCATGGCTGGAGAGGGAGGTGTGAGAATGAGTAGCTGAGGCAGGCAGACCCTGAACTAGAGAAGTGGAGGAGAGGAGGACTCTGAAGTGTGTAGCAGGTACTTGTGATACTTGCGATACTGAGGAGCTTGAAGGCCAGCATGTTCTTTGGTACCCTCACTTCCCTCACTTCTGCCAGTGATAGGGAAATGGCTTCTTTAGGTTGAGAGGAGCCAGCTTCATAAGTTTCTGAGGAATTTTTTTTTTTAGGTTTTTTTTTTTTTTTATCTAATAGCCAGAATTTGGGGAAATGGGGTTGGTTTCTGTTTGGTACTGACAATCTGGCTATACACTCATATATGCTATAAACTCCAGAATTTTGATCACGTTTTTTTATCACATTTTGCGGCTGTTGAGTGGATGGAAGCCTTTCAAAAAACCAAAAGTTCCTTTGAAATGTAGGTGCAGGGTTCTGATGCCTTCTAAAATGCAGTGGGGCATGAAGAAAAGACATACTATGCTGGATAGCTTTACATCAACCGACTGGATAGCTTGAAGTCGTCTGAGAGGACGGAATAGCAGCTAAGAAAATCCCTCCATAAGACTGGGCTGTAGGCAAACCTGTGGAACATTTTCTTAATTTGTGATTGTGGAGGAGGGCCCAGACCAGTGTGGATGGTACCATCTCTGGGTTGGTGGTCCTGGGTTCTATGAGGGAGCAGGCTGAGCAAGCCATGGGGAGCAAACCAGTAGGCAGCATCCTTCCATGGCCTCTGCATCAGCTCTGACTTCATATTCCTGCCCTGCCTTTCTTCAAAGATGGACTTTGACGTGGAAGTGTAAACAACATAAGCCCTTCCCATTCCAACATGTTTTAGCCATGGTTTTTCATGAGAACCCTAAGTAAGCAGACAGGTGAAGAAAAAGAAGAATGACGGAACTTGAGGGTTGGTGTTGTCAGGCTTTTGTGGAACTGTCCTTGGAGGGACAAAGTACCGGAGTCATCCTCTGAAGGGGAATTATGCAGACCATGGGAGGGAGTTTAGCTGGCTGAGATCTGTCGTGAAATATTTAACTATGCAAAGATGTGTTGCATTTGTTTGACTGTGTAAAGATGTGCTGTGTTTAACTATATAAAGATGTGTGGCATTTGTCTAACTATGTAAAGATGTGTTGCTGTTTTATTACCTTGCCTGCCTTAAAAAAAATCTGCTTGGTCTAATAAAAAGCTGTATGACCAATAGTGAGGGCAGATGTATAGGTGAGACTTCCAGGTAGGGAGAGTAAGTAGGAGAAGAAATTTAGGCTCTGAAAAGAAAGAAAAAGAGATGCTAGGGAGACACAGGGGCCAGCCAGTCAGACATAGAGAAAGCATGAAAGTAGGGCATTCACAACGAAAAGGGGGGTGTGGAAGCCCCAAGGCAAAATGTAGATGACTAGAAACAGGTTAGATTAAGTTAAAAGAGAGCTAGTGGGAAAAGCCTAAGCTAAGGCCAAGAATTTATAGTTAATAAATTCTTTATTTGGGAGCTGGTTGGCAGCCCAAAGAGGCAGCAACTACAGAGATCAGTACCATTATCTACTATGAAACTATATTGCTTAAGCTTGAGAGATGACTCAGTGGTTCAGTGGTTAAGAGCACAAGCTGCTCTTAACCAGAGGATCAGGGCTTGATTCCCAGCACCTACACATCTACTCCTAGCTCCCTGTAATTCCAGCTCCAAATGATCTCTTGGGAACATAAGTGAAACCGTTTTGTGTAACTTAAAAACCAGTTTGTGACTTAGAATACTGTGCCTGCAAAATAGGAGCCTGCCACAAGGCAGCTCAGGTAGGAGCTAAGCCCAAAATAGTTGGATATGCTAATGAACTAACCCCAAAGTGGCATTGTTATGCTAGTGAACCAGACTAGGTTGTGAGCCCCCATAGTGCACTGAAATGATACAAAAAAAATTGAACTGTAAAGTGGCCCCTAGGGTCACATTGCTGTGCTGTGCTCCCAAGACAGCATTTCAAGCCTCAGTGCTGATACCAATCCTTCATCAGCAAGGCAACTTGGAGACTGGCCTCTGTGTGTGGCCCTGGCTTTGAGGACCCATTTCCAGCACAGTTGCTCAGCTCACACATGCCTGCCTGCCTGTGAGCACCAGCATCTATCTTAAAGCTCTCAAGGACCTTCTGGAACTTCCACAAGTGCCATCTTCCTGGCTGGACACAGCTAACAGACTTCATGATGGACATGGGTTGTCACCAAACTCCTAAAGCATCCTAACTGGAAGACCAATGGTGGTACACATGTCTTTAATCCCAGCACTCGGGGGGCAGAGGCAGGTGGATCTCTGTGAGTTCGAGGGAAGTTTGGTTTACAGATCAAGTTCCAGGACAAGCTCCAAAGCTAACAGAGAAACCTTGTTTAGATAAACCAAAAGCAAAAAGAGCAAAAGCATCCTAACTGGGGAAGATTCCCTGGCGGAACCCTACTGCAGTGTTATCTGCCCAGTTGGTCCTCACCTGGGGAGCTGTCTAACCTTTACAGTAACATGAGAGTGTAATGATTGTGTGAATAGTCTGGCATATTTGAAAGGCAAATCTCATGGGGACATCCTAATTCCTGACTACTTTAGTGTCTACTCGCCATGCTTTCTGCAGGATCTGATGCCCTTTTCTGGCCTTTGTGGGCCCATGCACATGTATAATGCCCAGACATATTTGCAGGAAAAGCACCCATACACATAAAATAAAAATAAAATGAAAGTATATTGGGAGAGGAAGGGAGGCAGAGTGAGGGTGGGGTAAAAAGATGGAGGTGTGTGTGATATGAATAATAGTCATGGCAGTAGGGCATGGTACAAGCTATTTACCTTAATGGTCTCAAATATGTTACATAACTTCTACTGCTGTAGATCTTTGCTGGGACACTAAAGCTCCATTCACTCCTTTATCACACGAGCAGCTTACAGTGGCCTCACTCCAGTTGGCCACTGCTGGGCCTTGGGCTAGCCTCCTGCTCAGGCTTGTGTTAGTGCCAAGAAAACTGGCCATTTGTTCCTTGCTGATCAGGGACACAGCAGCTTTGTCCCAAGCACAAGAGCTCCCTCTATATGTCACCCCGCCTTCACTGGATCCTCCTTCCAAAGGCACCTAGCCCACAAAGGAGCTGACACTTGCCTCTAGGTGGGTCTTAGACATTCCCAACACCAATGGGATGAACAAGGAGATTCCATCACTCAGTCGAGTGATGTGTGCTCTTTTTAGATACTTGTTTTTGATAAACTCAAAAGTATCCCTTGAATGTACTAATGTACTAATGGTCCTTCTCTAGAACAAATATGAGAATTTGGGGCTAAATCTTCTCCCTGGATGGGATAGATGTAATCGCTTCCTTCATAGCCTTAATAATAGACAGCAGAGGCAAGACAAGACAGAGGACTCTTTGTTTACAGATACAGAATATATTTTGGGTGGCTCTTTAATCCACCTGTTTGTTAAAGAAGATGACAACAGTAGTGCTCTTTAAAGGGTAGCGAGGACGGGGAGCCAAGAGGCTGTCGTCACCCTGAGCGTTCTCCATTAGCAGAACAACACTTCTGAGGTAAACCTTGGGACCTAGGGCGGGTTTCTGTATTGAGTGGCATAAGCCAATCTAGGACAGTGCCGAGGACAGTGTCGGGCCTGGCCTGATACTGAGACAGAGCCAGGCTGTCGAGAGTGCTGCTGGAGCTTACTCTCTAGAATATGGGGAGCAGTTAAGAAGGATGCAATCACTGACTTCTCAGCGGGCACAGATTGGGCCTTGGGCCCTCTGTAGTTCTCTACCTTAGTTTTCTTGGTGGGGCTTTTGGCTTGGGGCAGACCCTTATCAACATTTTCTTTACTGGTTTTGGCTACTCTTGCAGGTGTTGAGGCCATGGTTTCCACGTGTGTTTTGCCTTTTAACTTGGGGTTAATAGAGTTAAGAAAGGATTTCACCTTATTTTTCAAGCCAGCCTCTGGAAGGCTGGGGCTAGTGTGAGGAGAGGTTGGCATCACCCGCCCCCGTGAAATGTGGTCTTGCCTAGTTTGGACCCGAACAGGCTTTCCCTGAATTGGCGGGCGCAGGAAAGGCAAGCCCTGGGAAGCCTGGGAGACCTCAGCAATCCTTGCAGGTCCTGGGATGACATTTGCCTTGGTTTGACTGTCTTGCATGTCATGCTCAGGTTCCCTCTCCATGAGGACTTCTGGGGGTGGATACGGGAACTCCAGGTCTCGGAGGTCCTGAGGGCTGGGTGGACAGGGATCCTCAAGATGAGAGCTATGGCTGTACTGTGAGGACCCCTGGGGTGTCCAGTGCACAGGCCCCTTTTCTGGCTCCTGGTCTCCCTCACGGTGTGTTCTTTCACTGGTTGGGGAAAGCCCAAGACCTGTGTCCCCTTCTCCAGGGTCGTCCACTGCCTTGGGTTTCCTTGGCTCTTGGCCCTTTTCTGTTAGTGCGAGGACATGCGCAGAGTACTTGCTCTTGCCTGAGCCCTGAGGCTCAGTGCTAAGGGCTTCCTCTAGGTTGGGCACTTGGGCCTCGGTTGTATTCCTGAGTCGGGAGGTCTTGGAGACTTCCTGGGCAGAATCCTGGGGCCCTGCTTTGGACCTAGGTTGCTCTTGCTTGTGGCACACAGCCTGCACTGCAGTGTCTGGCTGTTTTCTCAGGCGGACCGTACTTGCATCTGGGGCTGGAGGAAGATCACCTGAGTTGGGCAGTGTCTGTAGTGCTGTTTTTTCTGGGATACTGAGACCCCCGACGGGCTCCTGTGGGCATTCACTCTCTGTGCCCGCTGCACTGGGCTCTTTAAGTTTGTTTGCTGTTATAGGAATTCCCAACTTTATCTCTAGGACCTTCTTTTTCAGATGGAAACTCAGTCTTGCCACCATCTCTTTGTTTGATGAGTTGGGGCAGGGAGTCTTGCTCTCTAGAGGTGCCATCTCTGTTCTTCCTTCCACCTGCACTTCAAGCTGGACCTCTTCTGTAATGTTCACAGATGCCTTGCTGTCATCCTGAGGACAAAGCCTGGATGCCTCGCTGTTATCCTGAGGGGCAGGGCTTGAAGCCTCTCTGCCATCCCCAGGACAAGGCTCAAGACCACTCAGACAAGGGTCTTCATGTGGTGGCACCTGTGTTAGGGGTGCCTGTGGGGTTTTAACAGGTCTAGGCATCATCTCTGCGATTGCAGATTGGCCAAAAGTTGCTGGGGATGATGCTCTGGAGGGGGTCACACAGTAAACAGCAGGCAGGCCTGACAGGAAGGCCAGATACTTATGCCTTAAAGTTGTCTCCAGTTTCTTAATGGTTTCCTCAGACAGGGCTTGGGGCCGCTTACAGTGCTCAATGAGAGCACCTGATACGGCCTGCTCCTCCGGGTCACTCCTAGGTTCCTGAGGGACAACTTTGTAGTGTAGGTCAATGTTATTTTCTGTCTGTGGCTCCAGGGGCTGGCCTGGTGGGATGCTTGGGAAGGGAGTCCCTACTGCCAAGCTCCTGGAGAATTCCCAGGAGCGTTGGACACAGGCAGGGACCTTGCCCTGGATGATCTGATCACATTTGGAATCAACATGGCTCTTCAACATTGCCTGTGCCTGAACAAACAAATGAGGCATGAGGATTGGCCCTTTTCCCACTGCGGGTACAGACATGTCACCAGACCCATTGGCCTCTGGGTTGTTGCCTGGCTGCTGGGTGCTCACACTGGGTAGTGCCTTGTTGCTGCTGCAAGACAGGGCCTGCTGGTCAGTAGAGGAGAGGAGCAGGTGAATGGAGCGCTGGATCCTCTGGGGCAGGCCCCAGCGAAGGTGAATCAGCTGCTTCTGGAGGTGGAATTCCAGCAGCCTGCGCACGTGCTCTGGGACAAAGAAAAGGTCTCTGGTGAGGACTGAGAAGCATTTTCCTGGCCAGGAAGCTTTTAAAGTCTCCCGTGGCTTTGCTTTATTACCTGACTTGTACTGTGTGTGGCTCCTCACATAGGGAGATCTGGGGACGGCAGCTGGCAGGCCCCACTGAAGCTGAAGCTGTCTTTGTAGAAGATGCCATTCTAAGGTTTTACACTCGGCCAGAGTCAGAAATGGCACGGTGATCTGAGCCTGTCGATGCTCATATAAACACCCATTTGGAGAAACTGAGGAAGGAGGAAGGGCTGCCTTAGGTGGAGTGTGGGGCAGCAAGGGCAAGGCTGAGGACTCTTGCAAGAGATGAAGATCTTCACAGGAGGGCCTAGGTATGTCCTTGGAGAGACCTTGAGTGCCTAGGAAGGTAGTAACCAAGGACTCACTGTGCATAGAAGGGAGACCGCAGAATAACTGAGTGAATTTCTTCTGAAGATTGTCCTGGGAGTCGTTAGCCTGTCCCTCAGGCTGCAGACTGATGCTACATATAGCATTATGGTCAGGAGTAAATAAGGGCTTTTCCCCAGGGCTTGGGATTTGTTCACAGTGTTGTTTTTGTTCTGGATCCATATTGGACCACTCAGAAACCCAAAAGGTCTGGATAGGTTGGCTGTCAGTATATGAGTACCATGTCTGGTGGGAAATACTCCCAAAACTATTATCACATTCTTGAGAAGTATTCAAAAGAAAAGGAACTGGCTGGCTATTTTCAGGCTGGAAATACGTCGGTGGGTTTGGCATTAGTTGACTTAGGGACTCCTCTACACGTCTGGGAAGCCCCCACCTTTGGAAATGCATCAATCTTTTCACATGCAGCTCAAGAAGCCTAACCACTTCAGGACTGAGGAATGGCTGCGGGACAGTGGTGACAACAGACAGGGCCATAGGATGTGTGCCATGAGTACTCCCTGTGTACAGAGTTTGAAAAGGGAGCTGCGAGTTCAAAGACTGATGGTTTTGAATCTGCTGGACAAAGCTTAGATTTCTGGGCATTGTCTCTCCAGCATCCACTAAAACTATAGACTCCCTACACTGTGAAGAAATTATAGTCTCAGAGACCATGGCCACATCTGCCTGATGAAATTCCTGTTCTACCTGGAAATGATTGTCACAGAATTGTTGGATCCTAACTACATTGGTTGACTGTGGTGAGTGTTCCATTAGTGTTTGGGTCACAGGTACCAGTGGGAAGTCTGTGGAGTTCCCAGAGTAAAACTTCATATTATGGTCAAAAGACACACTGGATATGGGCAACATGTCGAGGCACGAAGAGCCCTGTGGCAGTCCCAGCAAAGCAGGGGAGATCTGGCTTTTATCACTCTCCAGCAACTGCTGAATCTCTAGAGTTGCAGCATCACAAATCTGGCAGCACGGATCTACACACAGGAGCTGCCGCACATTTCCCTCCGTGGGGAGCCAGCTTTGGCTAGGAAGAGAAAAACGGCCACTGTTAATGACGGAATGACATCTCCCTCCTTGGAGGACTGTGTCTGGGGATTGCTGTGCCCTTTCCTCCAGTCCCACTCTTCTGAGCCTACACTGGCAAATGAGGTCCTTGTTGGAACCATTCAAAACATGGGATGTCCCTGCTGCTGTACCCAGGGAATCGTTGGGGACAATTCACACTCTCTAGAAATTAAGTGGAGGAATATGATGATGGGCTGAAGGTGTCCCAGCAAGTGCTCCCCTGCTCCCAGACAGGCAGGAGGTAATATCAGTGGGGTCCAGCCAGACCCAGGGCTTTGCCCTTGATAGGGGGTAGCAGGTATGACATGTGACTGCTTTATGCTAAATCCACTCTTGATGGGGGATGCCCTTCTGTATGTTGTGAATACATGTTTCTCTTATTGGCTGATGAATAAATGCCGATTGTCCAGTAGCCAGGCAGGAAGTATAGGAGTGGCTACCAGACCGGGGAAGAGGAACAGAGAGAGTGAGAGGCGAGGGGGACACCAGGTAGCTGCTGAGGGAGCAAGAGGGCTGGGCATCACTGTTAAGCCAAGACTATGTGGAGATACACAGATTAATAGAAATGGGTCAATAATTAAGGGAATGCTAGCCAATAAGAAGCCTAGGCCATTGGCCAGGTTATAATTAATATAAGCCTCCGTGTGTTTATTTGGGACTAAATGGCTGCAGGATCAGGCAGAACAGAAACTTCTATCTCTTGACAATTTGTTGTCTGAGTGCAACACCAGCAATGTCCTTTACGAAGCGTGCACTAGTCAGTTCTGAACTGCAGAGCTGCTGAGACCCTAACGGAGAATTGGGTACTGGGTATCTCTTCCCTCCTGAGGTGTGTGTGAACCACCTCTGCCCTGACAACCCTCTCAGCTGCTGAACCTGGCTGCAGTGTGTTCTTCCTTCCATCAGTTATTCCCTACCCTCTTTTCTTTCTTCTCTCATATATTACATCCTGACCCTGGGTTCCCTCCCTCCACTCCTCCCAGTCCCCCTCCCTTCTCCCCAAGATCCACTCCTCCCCTGATCCCTTCAGAAAAGAGCATTAAATTTGCAGGCAAATGAATGGAACTTTCTGAGTGACGTAACCCAGACCCAGAAAGACACACGTGGTGTATACTAACTCATAGGTGGGCATAAATTGTTAAGAGTAACCATGCTACAGCCCACAGACCCTGAAAGGCTGAGTAATAAGGAGGGCTCAAGGTGAGATGCATGGATCTTCTTGGGAAGGGGAAATGATAGATTTTTGTGGGCAGACTGGGGGTAGGTGGGAATAGGAATAGTTAACCCTTTTTTCACCCCTGGCCCAGAGTAGATCTAAAAATCATTACAGCTTAGAGACCACAGAGTTCAAGAGATCACCTTTTCATGATAGAGAGCAGCTCCCATGGCTTCTCGGCTTCTTCTTGGGAAAGTCTCCTGGCTGAGGAATCAGGACACAGTGTTATGTGGCGAACGAGCATTTTAGGGATGTTCTATGGGATCTGAATGCTAAGTCTTAAGGTCAGCAAGAGGAGTCTGAGCCTAGACTTAACATTCCACAGCATATTGCATATAGCATCGTCATTTATAGTGCATTTCACCATACAGATGAAATGAATTCTCATAAATGACTGTTAATGACGTCCTTACTTCTCAATTCTTTGTTGTCAGGGGAGTAAGGCTGAGATTTTTTTTTTTTTTTAACATTCTTACTTCCTGATTTCCCATCCAGAACAGTCCTTTGAAAATGTCATCAGTTAGTGGCTCTGGAGCCTCAGAAGTTAGAGCACCCTGCACTGGGCAGGGTCATGGAGAAGAGGGCAGTGGGGAGCTCTCCCGGGGGCAGGGATCAGGAGACACTGGTACTTTACCTCTTGATGCTGCATCTCTAGCCCTTTGCCTGACTTTTCGGTGACGCTTAAAGAGAAAAATGTTACAGTGTGAAGCTGGAACTGTTTTCTTTTTCATGTCTGTGATGTGATAAGAATCATATACATTTCCTTTCTATTACCAATGCGCAATTTTGGCACTCTCCTGTACTGCCCTTTACTATGCTCCATCCTTTTCGCCCCGACCTCCCTTCTCTGCATCCTTCTGGTTCTCATGGAAACTGATCTGAACTCCATTTCCTATCCAAGTACTGAGTGAAGTTCTACTGGAAATTGCAGATAAAACAATGGACACATTGTAGGATGTGTTCTTATAAAAAAGACCTTCCACATATAAATAACATGACAAATTAAACTGGGGAATTCTCCTGTGCTGGGGGATCTGATATAATGGTAGTCTCCTATTCAAGCCAATAGAAAAGTTTTTGCCCTCTGCCTTATGAAAATCTTGGTAAGGGAAGGCTTCCAACCTCACAGAAGAAAGATATTATACACTTGAAAGTATCATATCCACATTGTGGGGTATGAGTGGGGTAGAGGGGTCATGAGTACAAGGTGGGCAGACACTCGAACTTGAAAGTTTCTCAGCTAGCTCAGTAGTAGTCAAAGGGTTTCCTACCCGGCAGCAGCTTCTTTTATGTTCCCACTTCAATCCTTGGTAATTCTGTTGCACTTGCCAGATAATTAGGATAATGATGAAGATGTAGAAATAGGCATATAAGGGATATTCGATACCCCACAGAAAGCAGGAAGAGCTCAACATGGTCCAAACCTCATTAACACGAGGAGACCAGCCATCCCTACTCCTAGGATATTCAGAGTCCTAGTGCCTCTCCCAGGGCTGAGCCTTGTCTCACCCACCTCACAGAGGATAGAACCAGGCCACCGGACGGCATCACAAAGCCCCCCATTCCATAAGAGAAGCGTATACAATAATTCAGTCTGTAGAAGAGAGCATTCAGTCACCTTTAAAGGCTATGTACCCTGGATTTGAATATGTCACATTCACAAGCTGTGCCTGGTCCCTATTTTTACTTCATACTCACTGTCACTGTACCAGCCTGCTGGCTTGACATTTTTCTTCACAACTGTGTAGTTGTACTGGTTACTACACCTAACTGTGTAATTGTTTCTGGTGTTACTGGTGGCCAGTCTGGGCTGAGAGCTCCCAGGTTCTTGACATCTTATTCAAAACATTGAAATTTTGCACACACAGATTTGCAAAGTAGGACATTTGATTCTAAACAAAGTATAGATCAGAAAGAAAGAATGACATTATAATAGTGACAATGGGCTACATGAGTAAAGGAAAACAAGCTCCTCAACTACTGTTTGGCAGTTTTATGGAATTTGAGAGAAGGAAGAGTTTGATTGCATAGGTGATTCTTATCTTGACTGACAGAATGTTATATAACCTCTTTGCTATTGTGCATGCTCCTTCCCATAATGCATCTGATCTTAATCATATCCAGACCCAATTATTCTGTACAGACATAATCATTATGCACAGTCATATGATGACAAATAGGGAATTCACCCATAGTTCATACTTGCACCTTGTTACACATGCAGCCCAAATTAATTCAGGCCATGCCAGTCCTTCTACCCTCTTATCTTTGAATGGGAACTATCTAAGTTTGATTGTTGTTAGAAGTGAAGAAACGTATCCAATTCATTAGAAATGGCTATGCCTGCAGCTAAATACAAAAGGGTCCTAGATTGTTGCTAGGTTTATTGTTTGCAGATGGGGTATGTGGGCATAGCCCAAGAGCACTATTAGAGAGGTGTGTGCAAAGTCCAGGGGCACTATTAGAGGAGTGTGTGTATAGCCCAAGTGTACTATTAGAGGGGTGTGTGCATAGCCCACATACACTATTAGAGGGGTGTGTGCATGGTCCAAGCCAAGTGGACCATGGTTGCTAAGCTATTTTCCTTCCTTCCTTCCTTCCTTTCTTCCTTTCTTTCTTTCTTTATTTCTTTCTTTCTTTCTTTTGAGACAGGGTTTCTCTCCGTAGTCCTGGCTGTCCTGGAAGTCACTTTGTAGACCAGGTTGGCTTCACACTCAGAAATCTGTAGGCCTCTACCTCCTGAGTGCTAGGATTAAGGGCATGCTCCACCACTGCCCCACTTGCTGAGCTGTTCTTATGCTTGTCTACTTGTAAGTTAACCATCCTCAGAAAACAGTACTTCGGCACACATACCAGGCATGTTGTGAGGAAGAGTGGCTGAGACAGAGGAACTTCTCCCAAACTCTCCTTCCTTACCTGGAAATGTGTCTGAGAAGCACACAGGGGCTCAGGGAGAGATCATAATTAAGGGTCAGAAACAAAGACCTTTGATATTTCACTTAAAGGGTGACCAGACATCAGGAATTCAAGAAGGGCTGCTGTGCTAGGAAAGCTATGGTGGTAGCACCGTTTTATTTATAGATTAAGCAAATTTCTATTGAAACTTGCATTGTAGTACAGAAATGCATTTGAAGTACATCAGCTAAAGGAAATTATGACACCAAATCTGCTCCCCAAACACATTGAGATTATTATCCAATCTACACTTTTTCATCCCTCTCCCCCTGGCTTTGTTCCACACAAATCTGTGCAAATTTTCAATATTAGAATTCTGAATTCTACTTGAGGAAAGGGAACAAGCATCAGACCTCAAGTCAACAATATGTCACTAGATCTACTAGGTTACTGTTTAAATCTGGTATAAGCACTGTGTCCTCAAGCAAATCAGTCACTAGGTGCTGCACTCATTACAGATTTGATCAATTGCATAATTACACTGAAAACCCAGGTGGTGATCCAACAGCAAAGGCAGCACTGTCTTTGAATGGTACCTTAGGAACAAGGAGGAGAAACTTCCAGTTTGAGTGAAACGAGATTGTAGCGCTGCTCTCCATGGAGGCTCACTAAGGCAGCTTACTTGTAGAGCTCTGTCCAAGGCTGTGAGTATCTGGAGGTCTTTCGATCCATGTTTCAACATCCTGCCTTCTCAGGGCAATTAATGACAAATCCAACAGCTGCTAGTTGCTGTTGGACATTCTTATGAGAGTTTTGTTTATTTGATGTGCATTTAAAAATCTAAGAAACAGGGCAAGTGTTTTGCAAGTCATTTCTAGGGCCAATCACTCTTGTGCTCTGTCCACCAGTTTATGCATTTGTGTTACCTAAAAATCCTTTAGACTATCTTACCCAGTGAGAATGGCCTCATAAAAATCTGTGGAGAGTCTATTTCATACTTCCTCCAGCATCCAGCCCTCCTGCTGGTGTGATTAACACCCATTCCCAAGTTGAGTAATTTCAGGGTGTGTTAAGCATCTTTCCATCTTTGTGACAAAATACATGAGCCCATCGGAGGAAAGAAATCACTTGGACCCATGGTTTTAGTACACGGCCAGTGAGCCCATCATTCTGGGTCTATGATAAAGCAAAGCATCTTAGTGGGATGGAAGCAAGTAGCAAGAAGATCTCCACTCACTTCATGAATGCCAGAAAGTAAAGAATGAAGGAGCAGAAAGAAACAGGGACAAGATATATCCCCAAATGCATCCCAAGTAACCACTCCATTTAACTAGATTCCACCTTCTAAGTTAAACACTATCTAAGCATTTATTTAGTGTGTGTGGGGGTACACATGTGTAATAGAGCACATGTGAAGGTCAAAGGACAACTTTCAAGAGTTGGTCCTTTCCTTCCACTTCCCCCATGTAGGTTCTAGGGATGGAACATAGGTCATTGTGCTTGGTGGCAAATGCTTTCATCCACCGATCCCTCCCACCCATCTTTACCTCTTAAGTTTCTATTACCTTTTAATACCTCACTGAACTATGAACCCATTAATGGAGCAATCCATTGATGAGTCAGAGCCCTCATAATTCAATCACTTCAGCAAAGCCTGCCTCTGAAGGTTGATACACTGAAGTAAAGACTTCACCATGAGCCTGTGGAGGTCTTTTCAAATCCAAACCATAACACAAGTGTATAAATACTTTTGAGAAATACTATCTTCCTGTCCTCCAGATGATTAACAACCTCATTTTAAAGACGAGACTAATTCACAAGTCAATGGTTTATTTCAAATCATTTTATCTGTTCACATTAAGAGTTTCAGGATTCAAACGTAACTTTTTTTTAAGGGGTGGACAAGATGACCCAACAGGTAAAGCACTTGCTACACAACCCTGACAATCTGAATTTGACTCTGGGAGCCACATAGAAAATTGCATGTGGCAGCTTACATCTGTAACCCCAGCGCCATCACTCCTGTGGCAAGGTGTGAGAAAGAGCCAGAAGGATCAGCAGTGCAAGGACAGCGTGGGTTCACAGCTCACTGGCAGAAAGGACAAGAGAGAGACTTCCTTCAGAGCAAGTGGAGAGTCCAGAGGTAGAGAACACTTACTTGCCACTCTTACAGAAACCCAAATTCGGTTCCCAGCACCTATGTGGCAGCTCGCAGTTCTAGGGACCTGGACTCTCTTCTGCCCCCTTGGGTTCCAGGCATGCATGTGGTGCACTTACATGCAGGCAGAATACACACAAGGTTTTAAGAATGCCTTAAAAACAAGGTGAAAAGAACCGATTCCAGAAGAGTTGTCCTCTGACTTCTACATGTAGCCCTGGCATATGTGTACACATACATACTCTACATAAAAACAAATGCCACCTGCAGCAAGGACCTGGGCCAGTTCTCCTGCCCTCAGGTTATTCGGTTTCTGCTCTCCCACACTCACTCCACCAGGGCCAGCTCTACTGTTTTGCACAAGCAAGGAGGAGGAGCCATTCTCTTGATTGCTTTAGGGGCATGCAAGGGATTGGGCAGGGTCAGCTCCCCTGCTCTCACATCCTCTGGGTCAACCCTGGTGTGCAGCTCAGATAAGGGGCAGGACCCCCTCCCTTGTGTGCTGCACTTGGTGAGGGCCAGGGCTAGTTCTCCTACTCTTGTTACCCCAGGGCCAGCTATCTCACTTGCTGCAGGTCAGGGGAGGGTGTAGAGCATCTTTCCCTCACCCGTGCCTCCACACGGCAGACAAGGGGAGCCCAGGGTCATCTCTCCCGCTCTCACACCCTGTAAGGAGTATGGTTTTTTCCGCCCACCACCAGTCTTGTCCAGCCGCCGCGCCAGCCCCAATTAACACACTGAGACTCTGTATTAGATATAATTCTGTTGGCCAGGTACTAGTTTCTTATCAGCTAGCTCTGTCTTGAGTATTAACCCATTTCTGCTGATCTATATATTTCTCTTACTGGGGAGCCGGCCGGCATACTGCTTTCCCCAGACTCTCCATCTTGGCTCTCCTTCCTACTTCCTCTTTCCTCCCTGTCTCCTAGTCCCGCCTATTTAGCTTTCCTATTGGCCAACAGTGCTTTATTCATTAACCAGTATGAGAAACATATGCAGAATGACATCTCCCATCAACACCCTGCTTATCTGTGCCTCTTTCACCAGGGTCAGCTCTAGCGCACTGCCCAGGTGAGGTGCAGGCCATCTTTCCCAAGTGCACACAGGTCTGTTCTCCCCTGAAGGGTGGGAGTGTTCAATGAGGGTCAGGGCCAATTATCCTGGGGCCAGTGAAGGGCGGGGACTGCTTAGCAAGGACCTGGAACTTCAACACACATGGCTGCTATAATCCCTGTGGTAACATAGGCCGTGGACATCAACACAGACCCAACTGCAGCAGGACCATGGACCCAGACATGACACTAAGGAGCAGCCCAGACACCTGGTATCAGCATGGCCTTCGATGGTGTCAGGAACCACAGACATCAACACAGACCCTGCCTGCAGTAGAGTTATGGACCCAGACATGGCCATCGGCAGCAGTC